TTAAAGACGCATGAAAAGATTAAGATAAAAAAGGACGTCTTTTCGATTTGCATAATCGACTAAAACAAGGCATCTTAAAGACGCATTTTTATATTTTTTCATGAAAACTCTAATTAGTGGTTGCTTGCAGCCTTGTTGGAAGCGATGTTAAAAAAAATTAAAAAATAAATTAATTTTTTTTTTTTTAATAATTGGAAATTGTAAAAGTTATTGAAAAAATATCTGCTAATGTTTATTAAAAATTTGCGACCACGCTATATTACGCTAATAGTTTTGCCAAATTACAACAACAACAAAAAAATGTATAAACTTAAAATATATATACTTTTATAAATATTATTAACTTTTTACTCTATAATTTTAAAACGTTTAAAAATATAGACTCATCTACTTTTACACATTTTGAAGATTTAAGCAATTAAAAATTAAATTTATTCGACAGTCCTAGAAAAACAACCGCTCTAACAAAAATTTTTTTTCAAAAATTTTTTTAAATAGTCAATAAATCATATAAAATAAAACTTTGATGTCAAATATTTAACATTTGTTCTGCGTTAATATTTTAATTGCTCGTTAACTTAAAAACAAACATGCAATTATTTTTCATTACACCCGCTGACGGGAGGCAAATTTTTCCGCCTCCGATTTGGCGGCCGCAGCTATCTGGGAGGCAGAAGCTAATGGCCTCCAAATGGTTTGCCTCCGAATTTTTTTCTGGAGGCGGTTATCATTAGCTTTCGCCTCTCTATTGGCGTCGGCTTTCAAAACATTTTGCCTCAAAAAAAAACTCTGACTGCGGCCACCAATAGAAAGGCGGAAGCCACTTGAGGCGGAAGAAAAAATTTTTGCCCCTAAAAATTAATTGGGAGGCCGCCGTCGGCAGCGCAAGAAAAGTGGAGACGAGAATAGTTGCACATGCATGAATCACCCTTAGCTTAGAAATTATGCCCCCTTCCCCCTTTCTCCCCCAACAAAGTTTCATTATGGTCACTTACCTATTTCTGCTAAACAAAAATAATAAACAACGGAATAAACAAACCATTGTTAGGAAAATATTTTATACTGGTTCTAAACAAACTTTGACATGTATTGGATACATTTCTTTAAATAAATCAACCGGAAAGTCGAAACCTGCGATTATTAAATTGGTTAAATGAATTTTTAAAAAATATTTTACTTTTTATTGGTACACAACCTCGAAAGAAAAGATGCTTTATTTCAGTTACAAATTTTTAGGGAAACGGACCTACGTATTTTTCACTGTATATTTTACTTACTTTGATCTATAATTCTTTTATTTTTTTGTCGTCTTAAATCTCAATATACAGTTAATTCCCCAAAACTCGAACCTCCAAAGGACCAAGAAAAAATACCAATACAAATGAAAACCTTAAATCTTTTAAGGAACAATTATCTCTAATTGATTGGAGCATTATTAACACCTCTGATGATACAAACTTAATTTATAACTCCTTTTTTAAAACTTTCTATGATATTTACGACACTAATTTCCCTGAAGTTAATTTAAATCTTAAAGCTAAAAGTATTAAATTGCCTTGGATTACAAAGGGTTTGCGGAAGTCTTCAAAAATAAAACAAAAATTATACATTAATTACTTAAAATCTAAATCAAATGAAAATAAAATTATATATAAAAATTATGCTAAACTTTTTGAAAGCCTCAAGAAAAAACAAAAAAAAAATTATTATTTAAATTTACTAGATATATATAAATTAAATTTTAAACGCACTTGGTTTATAATAAGAGAAATTACTGACAGCAAAAAATCTACATCCCACTCTTCGCCAAACACGGTTAAACATAATAATGAATTTTTATATGATAAAAGACAAATTACGGAAGAATTTAATAAATATTTTGTGTCTGTAAGACCAAATCTGGCAAAAAGAATTCCTATTGCTAACAGTTTAATGAATAATCTATGTTTCCCTCTAAACTCTTACTTGAACTCTTTTGAATTATCTTTTAAACAGTTTGAAAATGCCTTTAAAATGTTAAAATCTAACAAAGCAGTAGGCCATGATGGTATTAATTTGATGTTCTAAAAGATATACTCTTAAAAATTTTTTCAATATCAATTAAACAGGGAATTTTTCCACAAGCTCTAAAATTAGCAAAAGTCATACCAATATTAAAAAGTGGTGACATTGAGAATATAAGTAACTATCGTCCTATTTCACTCCTTTCTGTATTCTCTAAAGTTTTAGAAAGAATTTTGTACAATAAAATTTATAGTCATCTTACTTTAAACAATTTATTATGCAGCAATCAATATGGATTCTAAAAAAATAATTCTACTGAACATGCCATTCTACAATTTACAAGAAATATATCTGACTCATTTAAAAATTCTCAATTTACTTTACGTGTTTTCATTGATTTGGCGAAAACTTTTGATACTATAGACCACAAAATTCTTTTTAAAAAGTTGGAGTGGTACGGAATTACTGGAAAAATATTAATTTGGCTAAAAAGTTACCTAAATAATCGAAAACAATTTGTTTATGCGGATGATAACGTATCATCTAGTTTGTTAAATATTTCATGTGGAGTTCCTCAAGGATCCATATTAGGAACTCTCCTATTTTTAATATATATTAATGATCTACCAAAAGCTTCTAACCTAATGACAATTCTGTTTGCTGATGATTCTAACCTATTTCTTTCTCATAATAACATTATTACACTTTTTAGCAATATAAACATTGAACTAGTCAAATTTTCCGAATGGTTTAGATTAAACAAACTCTAACTAAATATTGATAAAACTAAATGGATTGTTTTTCATCCTTATGGTAAAAAGCACCAACTGCCTAGCAACTTACCTCTTCTATTTATCGATAACATAGTTATTAATAGAGTTTTAGTGACAAGATTTTTAGGTGTATATATCGATGAAAATCTTACATGGAAATGCCACATTGCTAACTTATGCAGTAAAATTTCAAAGAGTATAGGCATACTATACAAAATAAGAAACATTCTTGATAAAAATACCTTAATTCAATTATATTGTTCGTTAATACATTGCCATATCAACTATGCAAACATTCTTTGGGGTAGCACTTATAAAAGTAAACTTAAACCTCTCTACCAACAACAGAAGCATGTAGCATGTCTTATAAATTTTAAGGACCGTTTTGCTCACGCCAAGCCTCTTTTATATGACATGAAAGCACTCAATATATACGAGTTGAATGTTTTGAATATTCTTTGTTTTATGTATAAATGCAAGCCTCACCTATCACCCGTTTCTTTTCGTAACTTGTATTTACAAAAAGATAGAAATAAATATATTCTAAGGAACGATAACTTAATTCGACAACCATTTTCTCAAACTAATTTTGGAAAATTTTTTATTTCGTTTCGCGGACCATTTTTATGGAATAGTATAGTTCTAAATACTTCTAAAGATTTTTCTCAAGAATGTAATTTTGATTCTTTTAAACAAAATCTTAAAAAACTCATTTTTTCAACTGAAAATATACTAATCTACTTTTAAATTTTTGAAAATCCCATATCTATATTAGTATATGTATATATTTAATGTACATTCTTTTTTATTTATTTATTTTTTATCAACAAGCAATTATTTAACATGTTTTATTTTAATGAATTATTTAACTTGTTTTAGTTTTTACGTTTTAGAACTCTTATATTGTAATATTGTATGTTTATTTATAATATTATATTACGAACTTTATATACTTTTATTATTAAATTTAATTTCGTAATAAAAAGAAATTGAACAAAAATAAATAAATATAAAGAAAAAAATTTTAAATTAAAAAAAAAAAAAAAAACGTTCAATAGCGGTTTCTCTGTGACAAGACCTGATGGTCTTCTTTGAGTATTTGCGTTCTTTATAATTATTTTTATTCTTTATTACTTAACGATATCTTGACTTGTTACCTTTTCTTTTTTATATTATTTGTATCTGTATCATATTGACTTTCGACTAAACTGAATACCCGTTAAATCGAATTTTGGCTGATATAAGGTTTTAGTTCGAGGCGATTTTTCTTTATTCAATGCTTAAGTATAAACATTAAATATACATTATACTAATAAAAACGTGAAAAATGTTTCAGTAAAAAATGTTACGTTTTGTATTCAATCTGTACACTTATTTAAGTATACCAAGATAACAAATAAAAAAAATTCAGGAACACAATGACTTCCTTATTAATAATATTGCACTAAATGCTAGTTATCTCGTATCAAGAGATTTATTAAAACTTTAAAACAATTTCTTTTTATTAACGTTATTTTATTAAAGTTTATATTATCAGTTTTATTATAGCACTATTTTACGACTGATAATGATCTATTTTATTCAGATCTAATTACTATTCTATTCATATATAAATACAAAGAAAAAACTATAGAAAAAAGTAGGCTCAGGGCCAAGAGCTGTCACGCCGCCTAGGACAACAATCCTGATTGGCCCCCTTACATATCAAATTTTCCCTATATTATATATGAAGGACCTGCTGCCCGGGACAAACTGTCCCGGTGGCCCTGAGTAGGCTACTGTTTTTTTATATCTTACATGGAATGACTTTTAAAAAAATTTTTATCATGTTGTTTTGATATCTTAATTTCCCATACGAAAAGTTCGAGTTAACCAAAGAAACTTGCTGGATAGGGACGAAAAAATGGTTCGACTTAACAAAGTTCAAGTTATCCGAGGTTCGACTTAACCGGAGATTTTTTAATAGTAATCAATTAGACGATTTCAAAGGACCAAAATGAGATAACAAAAGTTCCAGTTAACCGGTATTCGAATTAACGAGAATTAACTGTATTTCCGAAAAAACTTAAAAAAATTACTTCAATAAATCAAGGAATACAAGTGAAATTTTTATTTACCAAAACAAAGGTAGTTTCACCAAAAAATTTGATAGCTTATAATATTTGATAACCAATTATATTCTGTATGTACATATATTAACAAATATACAAAATACATGCATTTTAACTTAACAAATATTCATAATATATTTATGTTGACTTGAAATAAAAACAAACTTTCTATAGTATGAAAAAAAGAAAAAACTAAATTAGTTGAAATAATAGCACCAACTCTTTGCACACCTTAAACTCAAATTTTATTCAACTATAATTCAAAGATTTCTGGGTGATCCAAAAGATATTTATTATCATTTAAGTAAATTTGTATTAAAAGTCAATACTATCATCTATCTTAAAAAATTTATCAGAAATTGCAGAGAAACCAACTTGTATTGAGCCATCTTTTAAGACCCGTGTTGGATAAACTTCATTGCGTTTATCCCTGCCTCGAGGCAACTTAACTTTACCAGTTTTTAGTTCTATTCTCCACTTATGCCAAGGGCAAATAACACAAAGTATATGAGCTTCTCCAAGTGTTTCAATGTCTCCAACATGCAAAGGCCCTCCTATGATTAATTTAAACAAAACGTCTTAATGTAAAATTTAAAGACTAAATAACAACTAAAAAAATTAAAGTTAATAAAATAAACAAAAACGTTAGTAAAAACAAAAATAAAAAAATCTGTAATAAAAAAGTACATGAAAGTATTGGCTAAAAAAAAACAAAAACAATTGAAGTTTTTTGCAACTACAAATTTAACATAATATATTTAAGTATAATAAACACAATAAAAAAGTAAAACAATTTTAAGAATTTTGATTAGTACATTAATGACATAAAGGAAAATTACTGAATAAAATCTATGAACAAATCTATGAATCTATCTATGAATAAATCACTAACTATGAGTTTGCAACATTAAAAAAAAAAAAAAAAACACAACCCAGCGTACTTAACCAATGGCGTCAAAGAACTATTCTATCTGAAGCAGTTTCACGTTTAAAAAAAACTTAAACTCTTAAATGATGCTAAAGTGACAGGTGCCTTTTATTAAAAAGCACCATCAAAAAAAAAAAGTTATTATTGCCCCTACCTAGTCTCATTACATACCCATAAGACAACACTATTATTGAATTTTTTTTTTATCTATTAAATGTTGATAAAATCAAATCATCAAATATATTGATTATTAAATAAAATATTGACTAATTAGGTTCAAACAATATTCTTGGTTTTTTTTTTTATTTAATTAAAAAAAAAACAAAACAAAAAAAAACAAACAAACAATTTTTAAAAAAATTTCAAAATTAAAAAAAATAATCTTTTAAAATACAAAAAACGAAAACAACTGACTAGCAAGAAAAAATAAAACAGTTCAAATAAGTACCTTAAAAACATCAACAACAGCCTGCAAATTCTGAAAGATTTCAGGTTGGCACAAGAGTGCCTTAGCTGACATCACGTCGGCAAAACTTTGATTTCGATTTATTTTCTGCATCCTGTTATAAAAGGGTTAACAACTAATTGGTTATTAAAAGAATGCTTTGGTTAAAAGAGCATTGCTCTAGACAATATTTTAAAGAATGTAGCATTTAAAGATTATGTAAGTATATAACAAATTAACGAATTAATGATTTTTTTGTTTAAAAGTTTTTCATTACATAATCATTAGTTTTTTAGATAGAATGTAGATTAAAAATGCAAATTTAGTTTATGAGCAGTTAGTAACCAACAGGAAATCATCATTGTTATCATCATTATCAGGATTTAACCTTCCTTATTTATGCTATTTCTACAATATAAACAATCTTGAGCATTTTCTTTCCTTAACTAAAGCTTATTCATACAATATGTAAGGCACTCTCTTCAAGTTTTCTTACTTCTACCTTTACAATTTAATCCTGAAGCTACCTCTCTACATGCTAATACCTAAATCACTTTAATTTTCTCAAACAAACGTTGTTCGACACAATGTTTTTTTCTAATCTGTCTAAGATTATGCCTCCTTTTCCTGTCTAGTTAGGGTTGCACCACACAACCATCTGATCATTATCTTTTTCAGAAAGTACTACACCATATAAATTCTAAAGTTAATATAAATATGTAAGGATCTTGTATTCTAGCATCTCAATATATAGCAAACATATATGTTCATATCCATGTTATGTATGCATAAATGCACATCTTTTCATGGGTCTGACCATTTTACTTATGCCTAAAATAAAAGCGTTATTTGGAAAGAACTTTTTTTCTAACTTGACTCTTGAATTTAATGAGCATATTTTTCCTGTCATATCAGTTAAACAGATTAAACCATTGTTAAACATCTAAATCACTCTTCCAATGCAATTCTTATAAAAATTTTACATCTAAAGAGGCTCTATTTGCTAATGATTCAACTTTATACTCTTGTCTTGAAATAAAATCTTCACTTTTAGATTGCTTCGAACCAGCAGGCAATTTTTAATCTGATCTTAACAACAAAACTCATTTATTTACTGCAAAAAATTTTCCCAATATTGTTGGCATTCCTATAATGACAAATAACAACAAGTAAGAAGTTACTCTTAGACAAAGTAAAAAAGCACATGATAAATGTAACTAAACCTGCTTTATCTGCCGAGCTTGAGCCACTCCCATTGCTATAAGGCTGCATTTTTGCATTCTTGCTTTGTTATTCTACATCCTTTTTTTTTTTTTTTTTTAATTATCTTCGCTTCCAATAAGGTTGCAAGCAACCACTAATTAGTGTCGGAAGTTACTGGAAGAGAAAAGATGAAGATTGTAGAGCAAGATAACGATTGACAGACGACTTAAAAGATTGTAAATTATATGAATCAGGAAAGCAAGATGAAAGAAGCAAATTCCAAAGAACTGATGTTCGAGGAAAAAAACTAGACGAATAAGAGTTTTTGGAGCACTTAGGAACAGTAACAGAAAAAGGATGAGACTTAATTGAATGACGAGTAACACGAGAATGAATTTTAGTAGATGGCACAAGAGACGCTAGCTCTTTCGAGCAGTGCCCATTATAGTATTTGTAGAAAAGAGAAAGAGAAGCAACATTACGACGATGTGACAGAGTTTGAAGGTTGGCTGCAAGAGCAGGTCCAACTATGTTTACAATGCGTTTTTGCACCGTCTAAAAGAGAAAGGGCATCATTAGAAGATTACTGTATTAGTTCATTCATGCTATAAAAACTTTGATTAATCCAGTTTTTTTCCTTGCACTTCAAAAAAACCTTATAACTCTTACCCATTCTCATGCTTTGCTTTTTTTTACAATCTACAACTTTCTAAGTCTTCAGTTAACCATTCCCTAACTTTTTAACCCTATCTTCTATTTTAAAGTAACATATAACTAAATATTGGTTGCTTGCAACCTTGTTGGAAGTAAGTTAGAGCTTGAAAATATATAAATATACATATTTATACTACACAAATACTGGCATATATGCCAGTACTTATTAAAAAGTAAATGTAAGTATAAAATTATAATATATAAAGCATTATAATTTTTTTTTAGCCCCGGCTATTGACCCTTACTAAATCTTTTAATTTTGCAAGAACCAGGGACAGGTTTGCAAAAAGTCTAATTTTTAGCTGGTCAATTCCTTTGAGCAGTAGGCAAAAACTTCGTTAAGAAAAAACTATTAGATACTCCTGGTTATTTCTTATTTTTAATTGCTTTAATATTAAACATTTTTTGAATATGTTTCTCAATTACCATTTTTTTAAATATGTTTCCTCTCCACATGAATTTATCACAACTTAATTATACTAAGAAAATACTTTTCTATTAAACTTGCTAATTTTAAATAATATTTAATAATATCATAATTGAGTTAAAATTAAGAGTAAAAAAAATGTGATAATAGATCTTTGAAAAGTAAGTTTTAATAACCTTTGAATTAATGATTTAGTTATAAATGCTTTAAATTAATGGTTTGGTTACAAATGACTTGTTTAAATGAATTTGAAAAAAATGAAATTATATTTTTTATGTATTTATTTTTGCATGTCAGCACTTAGAAATTCAGGTTGACAGTTGTATGCTTGTGTGATGGTGATCTGAATTTTATGGGCTATAACAATGAAATAGCCATCTCTTCTAATCTGAACTCCGTATTAATTGACTAATAATAATAAAAATAATAATTAGATAAAAATTTAATAGTGAGAGTAATAAAGAATTATTATTCTATAAATACTTTTTTTATTTTCCTAAAATTAAGAGATCACACTCAACAATTTTTTTTACAGGTTTTTATTTAACATCCATTACTATACAATTAATTTTGAACAAAGCTATCAAGTTATAAACTATAGTGTTTTGAACATTAAAAAAAACCAACACACCTTGATGTGGACAATTCTCATCAATAGCAAACACTTCCCAACCCATTCTGAACAATGCAATTTTATGATTATTACATGTAACTACTGTGCCAGACTGAGGAATATTTCGATTTTGTGATTGATTTTTATAATCTTTCCAATCAAATAAATCTAATATTAAAATAAAAATATCTAAAAATTATAATAATCTTTAAATAATTCACAATAAAAAAACAAACAAACAAAAAAATTTTTAATTGATGATAAGAGTGCTTTTGAAATTTTATATTATTTTCAAAATGTATGGGTAATTCCACATCAAATCACCCAAAATTCAGGAAATTTTGAACCATGCTACCTCCAATTTTTTAAAAACTTGGATGTTGCATCTTAAAAAGGAAAGTTTACATAAAATTTCAGGTAAAAATGTTGAGCGGTTTACAAGATACTGCAATTTCAACATTAACCTGGTTTCCCAAAATGATCCGGTTTTCATAACATTCTAAAACAACATTTTTCTTAAAAAAATAAGAAATAAAATGGCAAAAATATGAAAATAAACATATATAATGTTTTTTTGATGCTGAATTCAATAAATGTACTTAAAATGCAGAAATATAAAATGAACATGCTTAAAAGTTAATAAAATAACTAGTTTCTATAAACCAACTTTGGGGCCCAATATCTTAAAACACCCCCGTCAAATTTTTTTTTTTTGCTGTTAATATTTTATAATCTTACTAGGCACAAAAAATCTAACTGGAAAAACAACTGAAACATATGGAACTTTAATTTTGAAGATATATGAAATTTTCAATAAATGAGTTTAAAAAACTTGCAAATAGAATTCTGTAAAATATTAAATTTAGTTTATAGACTTCATAGAAGAAAAAACAAAACAATTTTGTCTTATTTAAGGAAGTCTTAATTATATAATAACTTAATTATTTGATCTAAATAACTGAAAAAACCATCCTGTTTTGTTTTTAAAAACTAAATAGACGTGATATTGAAGTGCATTAAAATTTTCTTTTTTTGACAACTATAGTTTGTAAAAGTTTATAAAAACTACTTTATAAAAAGTTCAGATATAGAATAACATTTATTGGTAAAATTTTATTTAAATTTTAAAAATTTGATATATATATATATAGATTGTATATAAAAAAATATCTATAAAAAAAATTAACAATATCTATCAAAAAAATTATACAACTAAAGGATTCTGAGAAGGTTTGAATTATTTCTATACTAATTTTTTTTACTCAAAATTAAGTAGAAAAGAAGAATTCCCTTTTTTTTAGGAAATACATTCATACTAAGTTATTTATTATAAAATGTGTTCTATTGGCTTAATGACATCAGATGAATGCAAAGGCCAACAAGACGCTATTGAAACTTTAGACGATGAAGAAAAAATAACTATATCATTACGCTGTAACGTCGAGCTATCAAACTTAATGATATTATGTGAAAGACATAATACAAAATATTTGAAAATGCATCCTACATGGGAGAAAGCATGTTGTGATTCATTCAATAAACATACAAAAAAATAAGTAGATGTAGAATTTAAATATTTTAATATATATACTTTTTTAATTTCTAACACTGGCACCCCCAAGTTGGTTGATTAGAAGTACAAAATAACTTTGCAGTTACAGAATACCAAGCAAAAAAACTAGACTAATTTTTAATAAAAAAGGATTGTTAGCTATCTCTCCGTTGTATTAAGGTAAATTCTTACACAAAGAAATAGTAGATTCTGTTAAATTGTTTTATGACTCAAGTGATTTATGTAGAACTATACCTGGAAAAAAAGATTATGTTAGCATTCAAAAGAATCCATAAAAAAAACAACTGCTTTTGTGTAATATAAAGGAACTATATGTACTATACAAAGAAAACAATCCAGAAATACAAATAAGTTACTCAAAATTTGCTTCACTTAGACCAAAGTAGTGCATTTTTTTAAAAGAAACCCTCACCAAATATTTGTATGAGATTTTTGGAGAATATGAAGATGATTTTCAGATACACTACAAGCAATGGCAAACTACTGATTGTGCAACATGATTGAGTTTAACAGCAGATGTTCCCACGTTGTTGAACTATTAGTATCATGCTTTGAAAAGCCTCAAGCTCATTTCTTTTATTGCTCATTTTCAATCACACTACCTTAACCACTAAATATGGATCAATCAAACATTATCATTATTGGCGACTTTGCTGAAAATTTTACTTTTGTAGTCTAAGATGAAATACAAAGCTATCATTGGAACACCCAACAATGTTCTTTACGTACATTAGTGATATACTATAAAGATGATAAAAGTGTACTGAAACATATTTCTTACTGTTTAATATCAGACGACATTACACATAATGTAAATTATGCGTGCAAAATATTTCAACAAATCATACCAATAATAAAAAAAACCTTTTTCTATCTGTCCGAATTACATTTATTCACTGATGGTTGCGCAGAACAGTACGAAAATTGTAAAAGCTTTTACAATCTATGCCAACCAGAGAGCGAATTTGTCCTTAAAGTTAAATGAAACTTTTTTGCCACATCCCACAGAAAGTCACCATGTGATGGGATTGGCGGTAATGTAAAAAGATTATACAATAATTCACATCTTAAAAAGAAACAAGATATATTTCAACTTGATGCTGTCACTTTAGGAGGATATGTAGCTGTAGTCTATAATGATAAGTGGTGGATCGACATTGTAACTGAAACCAACCTAAAAGAAGTTGATGTTAAAATTAAGTTTCTTCACCCAAAAGGTCCATCAATCTGCTTTAATTGGCCTGAAAGGTCAGTTAAAGCAAAGTTCCACATGTTTCTGTTGTTTGCTCAAAAAAAAAAAAAAAAAAATTTGACAGGGGTGTTTTGAGATATTGGGCTCCAAAGTTGGTTTATAGAAGCTAGTTGTTTTATAAACTTTTACGCATGTTTCTTTTATATTTCAGCATTTCAAGTACATTTATTGAATTCAGCATCAAAAAAAACATTATATATGTTTATTTTCATATTTTTGCCATTTTTATTTCTTATTTTTTTATGAAAAATATTTTTTTAGAATGTTATGAAAACCGGATCATTTTGGGAAACCAGGTCAATATTAAAATTGCGGTATCTTGTCAACCGCTCAACATTTTTAGCTAAAATTTTGCATGCAATTTTTTTTATAATTAGGAATGTGTCAAAATATAAAACAAAAAGAAGACACATGGTTTAATGGACTGGGTGATTTGATGTGGAATTACACGTATATCATTATAAAAGTTTAAATATAGTAACATTTGGCTTGCACCTAAGTGGTATAAATACATTAGCCCACATTTATGTCATCCCATAAATCAAGTGTGACTATTATTTAATGACACATGTGATGCATATAAAGTTTTCTTGTCTAGATGCTGTTTCAATTATGAATAAAGTTGGCTAAAAATAATAAACTAGAAATGCCTACAGGTGGGGGCTTCAGTTCATACATTGACTAAGATAGTGTTTAACAAGCATTATGTATGTAATATAACTATTATAACTGACTAGTAAAACTGTAACAAGATTAAAAAAAAATATTTTCAAGAAACTTTGTAATCATTTATATGAAATAATATTAATAATTTTTATTATGAAAAAGTATTTTAAAAATCACTTCCAAATATGATAGGTTGACCATTGTTTATGTTTTTATGTAGAAGTGCAGGGCGCTAAACTAATTTTAATTAGTTTAACGCTGCGCTCTCCGATGCAAAAACCGGGACAATGGTTACTCTAAAATATGATCATATGATCAAAGAACTATTCTATCTGAAAGTAGTAACAAAAACGATATTCAAAGAAATAAAAATAGGTTAGAAAATTATCCCAGCAGTACTTTGATAAACTTTTTGCAGTAAGAAAAATTTTTGGATACTAATAGCATCAAAAAAAAGTGCATTACAATAAATAAAATCTATACAAAATAAGAGTCAAACTGTTCTAGTGCTAAAAAAATATCTGTTGATCAATACTTATAAAAATTAACCAAGCAAAACATGTTCAAAACAATTCCTAAACATACTTTATAGAATGCTGCAAAGAATTTGGCCATAAAAAATGTTTTTAGAAAAGCAGGATTTACGCACACCTAATACTTATATATCTCAAACTAATATTCTTAATGGCAAATATAAACTTTGAAGAATATTTTATAATCAAAAACACCTACAAAAAAAAAAAAGAAAAGTAAGTTCAATGGTTAACAATTATTTATATTGTTCAATAGTATATTAGCCCTGGGAAAGTTTTCTGACATAAGATTTTAAAAGTTTTGAATAAATTGTTATAAAAAATTAAATATTGGTTAAAAAGATTATTTCAGAGGTGAAAAAAAGTTTAAAAATTAAAGATTTATGCTTACTTTGAAAAAAGATTTATTTATTTGTGAAATAATTGCCAAATTTTAAATCGATAAGAATGCAAAAATGTAAATAAGAATGTAAATGTAAAAGTTAAACAAACGCAAATTTTTATTTTATAATAAACTTTTTATTTACCAGAAAGTTTAAGTTCGTTTACTGTAAAAAACAAGTCTTTCTTTTTTTTTTGATTTATTATAATGCAGTCTAAAGAACTCTGACGACTGTAGTTTTCATCACTAAAATTAATTGATTTTGCAACACTATGTAAAGATTTGCTTAAGTGATTTAAATGTAATTCTTTTGAGGGAGTATCAAAATCAACTAAATTTGTCGACGGTTTGCTCGATAATCCATTTGACATTCTTCATTTATATATATATATTTACGTATATACAAATATTATCTTAGATATATAGGTAACTTTTGTTTAATTCGCATAGCCAAAACAGAAGAATAATGATTAACCACATGAAACACTTTTATAGAACCAAACCGATACCGAACCACCCGAGACGACATTGTCCGTTCCTGAACTTTCTATATTTAAAAAAATTCAAAATAGAACTGAATGTGTTTTTCTGAAAATAGCTGGATTATAAGAGAATGTTATTTATGTAATAAGTGTGACCGAATCTCAGCTCACACACAAAAAAAGACAATATAATAATAGACATTTAAGATAAATATTTTATCCATTCAAAACATAATTTTTTTTTCTTTTTCAGTTCAGCTAAGCATGCTGTTAAAAGTATAAAATTTAAGTTTCTTTATTTTATTGTAAAATAGTTTGAAATTTGTTTTATATTATTTAAACGATAATTAATTTAGTTCGGTACAATACTAATATATCTACTCACTATGATTTTTGAAATAACGTCTATTACAGACGCTTTTTCAGGCAAACATTGTATAATTATCATTAAAGTAATGTTATGCCCTCGAGTATATTTAGAATTTGAAATCTAATTTGCTATATAAATTTATAATAACATTTTCATGCTAAAAATAATTTTATGTTATTGATTTTATGCTCAGCTGACAAACAAAGAAGAAGGCTTAAAAGTATTAAGTTTATAACTTGAATTTCTATCATTGTTTTAACTTTTTATGTATTATTTTGGTTGAATCGTTATTTATGTATGTAATCTAGTTAAGATTCATTTACATGAGTTTATTGGGAGAAATTCAGTCACAAACAAAAATATAATTTTTAATAATTTCTTTTAATTTTTCAAATCAATTTATCAGGTTTAAAAATACTTAAAAGAAAAAAAAAAGTTTTAAAACATTCTTTAAAAACTGATTTTTATTGTTTGACATATCAAAACATTTTCCATTTGCTTATCATGATGTTGCGTAATTATGCAATTGTATTTTGTAAAACACTTTTTAATTTTAAATATTCTTAGTTTCATTTTCGCTTTTTTTGTTTACGTACATAAAATACAACTCAACAACTTTGTCAAAATTTTATCAACTCTAAATCTTTGTCATGTGGATGCTTGCAAGACATTAAAAAAAGGATAATATGTAGAATTTTTTAACAAGACCTTTATCAGCTTCAAAAAGATCTTTATCAACAAGATCTTTATCAACTATCAAAGTATTTCATCAAGGTTTCATTTGTGGCTTCTAAATGTGTTTCTTGCTTATTTTTCATAACTAGATGTACCAGAGTCTGCTTCTTGTAGCATCAATAACAAGTCCAAGTGTATTTTTAATTTTTTTCTGAATTTCTTTTTTTTTATATGTAACTAATTGTTTCTTTTCAGCTGTGTTTGAAAAAAAATTCCAGGATCATTATATCTTGGTTTTTATATCTTACTTGTGTTTGACTTTTTGATGATGAGTCTATTGTTATTAAGTCTATTGTTATTGAGCTGAGCTCAGTTGATTTAAAATATCATATTCTGCTTTAGCAATTTGCTGATTTTTTTTAACATATTGCATTCAAACAGGGCGACAATTTTGGATTGGAGATATTTGGGGGTTAGTCCATAAAACAACATCAGTTTCCTGTACTTTAATTTGCACAGGTATTTTATACAAAAGAAACAAAGATTTTTTAACTGGAACTGGCAATCTCTAGTCTTCATCTTCAGTTTTCAATTTGTGAATAGGCTGTTTAATAAAACCATCAAATCTGCTTTTAAGAAGAAGAGTATTGTAAGGCTGAGGTTCTTTGGATCTACCCATTATTTTCTAAATCCTGTTTGCAGTGTGATTTATTATTCCTAGAAGATTTACAGAAACACTATTGTTTTTTTTTTAAAACATCTTCCCTTTCAACAAGGCTGAAAGCAACCACTAATTAGTGTTAGAAATTACTAGAAGATAAAAGATGAAGCTTGTTGAGCAAAATAACGATTGACAGATGACTTAAAAGATTACAAATTATATGAATCAGAATAGCAAGACAAAGAAGGTGAATTTCAAAGTACTGATGTTCGAGGAAAAAAACTAGAGGAATAAGAGTTTTTAGAGCACTTAGAAACAGTCACAAAAAAAAAGATGAGACTTAATTGAACAATGAGTAACACGAGAATGAATTTTAGTAAATGGCAAAAAAGATGCTAGCTCTTTAGAGCAGTGCCCATTATAGTATTTGTAGAAAAGAGAAAGAGAAGCAACATTACTATGATGTGATAATGGTTGAAGGTTGGCTGCATGAGCAGGTCAAACTATGTTTACAATGCATTTTTTCACCGTCTAAAAGAGAAAGGGCATCATTAGAAGATCCGCCCCAGATATGGCAACAGTATTCCATACAAGGACGAATTTGAGATTTATAGAAATAGAGAAAAGAATTTAAAGTAAAAAAAGTGTCAAGTTCGATAAAGAGATGCAACTTTCGCAAATGCTAATTTTGCAACGGATTTGATATATGGTTTCTAAGAAAGATCAGATGTAAGAGTTAATCCTAAAAGATGAAAGGTAGATGACTCATTGAGTACATAACCTTTCATAAATATTGGAAGGTCTAAATTATTGTGATAACGATTGGCTGAAAAAAATTGAGTTTTATCTGAATTAAAGTTCACCAGTCACCGTGAGCTCCATGCTTTACCAGAAGTGAGATCCTTTTGAAAGCTCAAATGTCCCCTCCAAGCAATCAGATAGAATTAGCTTCTTATCATGACAAAAATAAATAGTATTATCATCAGCGAACAATGCCACCTTAGATATAAGAATATCTGGAAGATTGTTAATGTAAATTAAAAAGAGTATAGGGCCAAGGATTGAGCCTTGAGGAACTCCTGAGGTTACAGAATAAGAAGAAGAGTGCTGTCCATCAAGGACAACTTTTATACTATGATTGGAAAGAAAGAATTCAATAATCTTAAAGATGCCTCCAGATACACTGTAAGAAAAAAGCTTATTGAGAAGACCAGCATGCCAAACTTTATCAAATGCTTTAGAAATGTCAAGAGTGATGACCTTAACCTCTCCACCTTTATCTAATGCACGATAAAATCGCTTGGTTATTACTGTTCGCAAATCAGGCGTAGAACGAAAAGATCGAAATCCATATCAAATCCATATCCAATCAGAAAGTAAGTTATTAGATTCAAGATGAGAGATTGTTTGTTAATTAAAGATTCAAAAACCTTGCTTATGGTAGGAAGAAGACTAATAGGATGGTAGTTAGACGAATCAGATCTCTTACCAGAACTTTTAAAATAGGGATAATAGATGCTGCTTTCTAGCAGGCTGGAAAACAAGACTCTGATAAGCACTTGTTGAATAGTTTTAAAAGGATAGATGACAGCTCCGGAGAACACTTCTGCAAGACTATAACAGGTATGTTGTCGGGGCCACAAGCTGTAAAAGAGTCTAAGCAGGAAATCACTTTAGATACAAAAGCTTGAGTGATACAAATGTCAAGGAATGGATCAACCTGTTTGATGGCTATATCAGGTAGAATGCAACTAGTGGAATCAAGAGATGATATTGATGAAAAGTTTTTTAGCAAATAATTCAGCTTTGTCTTTAGGTGAGGTGACAAAGTCTGAACCACACAAAAGAGGTGGAATTATAGACTTGCCTTTATTATTGATACTATTAAAGATTCTCCAGAAATCACAAGAGCCTAATTTTTGTGATGAAATACAAGATTTCATGACCTGAGAATAGTGGGCTTTGGTGTTAGACAAAACCTTTTTACAATGGTTCCTAGCAGTAATAAAGAGGCATCTGTTTTCTGTAGAATTGTTTTAGTGATAAATGTGGAAGTAATGGTTTCGATTGGCAATTGCAGCAGCACATTGTGGGGAAAACTATGGAGAAGAGTGAGGCTTGACCTGGAACTGTTGAGAGGGAATAAAGGATTCCATGCCAGCCTGAATCCATGAAGTTATGTAAGAAGCACATTTGTCAACAGGAAGACGAAAGATTTCTACCCAAGGGCCATCACGAAGAAAATCACGGAAAGAGTCCCAGTCAGCTTTAAGGTAGTTATAAGATTTTTGATGGCCTATTTCATTCCATTTCTTTGTAAAATCTTTCATAAATTTAACTTTCAGTTAAATTAATAAGATTAAAGTTAAATTGATTTTTCAGTTAAAATAATAGGCTTATGATTACATTGAGAAATCAATATAAGAATTTTGAGTTTTGATTCCTCACTAGTTAAATTTACATATATATTTCCCTGTTTTCCTTTGAACAAATAATCATAAATGTATTTGTTCTTCATATTAAAACTTGGTCTCAAAACTATTACAAATCATTTGATTCTTTGTATTTAGATTATTGTTGTCTGCTATTTTTTTTGTATATTCAACTATTCATTTTCATGGAAAAGCATTATTTCAATACATTGTAAGTTAGAGGGGAAACAGCTTTTATTTTTAAAAAATCATAAGTTAAAAAAGCAAATAAAAGCAGCCAATTATAAGAGTTTTCCCATACATGTATAATTTTTTCATAAGTGAAAAATTTCATGACGGGCAAACTTGGGCTAAAGTTTTCCTGGTTAATCAAAATTTTATTTTTAACAATTTGTTTTAAAAAAATTTATTAAATATCCAGTAAAATATGTTTTTTTAATTAATTTTAAATTACTTCATGTTGATTTTTTATTAATATGGTTTTTTGATATTTTAAATTACTTCATGTTGATATTCTATATTTTTGCTGCTAAAAAAATTAATTTTCTTGAATTTTTGAACTTCAAACTCTCTTCAGATAACATTCAAAATAATTAAAGACCTTGAAAATATAAATCTGATCTACACATATCTTTAATACCAACTATATCTGTAATACCAAATATATGACCTATATCTGTAATACCAAATATATGACCTGTATCTGTAATATATACACCTAATAATGTAATATCTAGGCTAACTATATAAAAAATTATTGAGCAAGTTGTACACATATATTTATCAAATTATTTAGAGGAAACCAGTTTAATAAATGACAATCAGTTTGGTTTTCAATGTAAATGATCAACAAAACTAGATGTAATGCTGTTAGTAGATAAC